GTTTCTATCTACTGTGCCTAAAGTGGAATAATGATTGTGAGACAAATAGCAAAACAACAGATTAGAATCATCTAGAATATAAAGGCTTAAAAAGTATTTCAAACTTTTGCTCTTTTTTTATGCACATTGCATTTATTTAGCAAGGTAATAATGCTGCATTTGGATATTTAAACTGTGACCGTTTCTTTTTTTAAAGAAAGCTGCTGCGAAAATACTAAATCCTGACAGTCTAAATTATAAGTCTTATCTTCAATGAGTCAGCAGTTAATATTAAGCTAAGCATCTGTACTTTGCAAATTAAAAAGAAAACAGTTAACTCCACACCTCCACCCCTGCCAGTGCTGTATTATCATGGACATGTGGATGCTGCTTTGTGATTTTAGCTGTAGTAACAATAGCACCCACTTCGATGTGATGGTTTCATTGTTCAGTTTTCTTTAGGAAAAGGAAGCAGCCAAAACCAAAACACTAAACATACATATTTGGAAAATGAAAATTGTTATTGTGGATTTGCAATTTCCTTTAAAAGCTTTTATTATTGTTTTTATTAAGTCCTTCATGTTTAATTATTTCCCCCTTTAAAGCCCAGTCTTACAAGGCTGTTCAAACAAGTCTTAAAATTAATTAATGCTTCAATTTTAATTTTAGTTGATCATTTTATCTCTATTAATTAACACTGCTGAAAATCGCCTTATAAATGATTAGATACTGATTTCTAACCGTCCTTAATTTAAAAAAAAAAAAAAATCTTGAAAGAGTACCGTATTTTTCATACCAGAAGGGACACGGGATTATAAGGTGTTAGCATAACATAATTTATGTTATGCTAACATACCTGTGTCGCTAGCTTTCACGTAGCACATCATTATATACCAGCTAGCCCAACTTCATTAACCCTACAAAAGTCACTGCTGTTTACTATTCTGTCTTCGTTTATGTTGGAAGTGATAGCAGAGCTGTCTGTTTTAATTTTTCAGAAGTCTCTCAGTCAGAACATGGGCAGGGATAGCTCAGTAGGTAAAGTGGTCCCCATGATCGGAAGGTCGGCGGTTCGAATCCACTTAACGGCTACCCTGAGGTACCCCGTCCCTACACACTGCTCCCCGGGCGCCTGCTTAGTGGGCTGCCCACTGCTTCACTGAGTGAATGGGTCAAATGCAGAGAAAAACAAGTAATTTCCCCATGGGGGTCAATAAAGTATCCATTATTATTATCATGTTTAGGTGGAAACTAGCGAGCTAACTTCTAACTCCGTTAAATTGTATATGTTCTGTTTTCATGGATGCCTGGATGTTAAACTTAATTGTTACACCTGATAAAGCAGCAATGCTGATCATTTTATTAAAGATGAAAGACTTTACACAGTAGTCATAATGCTCCGACAATCCATCAAGCAGTATGGCTTCGTATCTTACTAAAGTCGTACTAAAACATTTTTTGACAGATTTTTGAATGCCGTGTACCACATAAAATCGGTTCAAGATCAGTAAGCACAACCAGAATTCATACATAAGGCGCACCGGATTATAAGGCACACTGTTGATTTTTAAGAAAATTAAAGGATTTTAAGTGTGCCTTATAGTCTGAAAAATACGGTAGTTATAAAACAGCTTGGTAATCATGTGCAAAGGAACTGTTTATTTTAAGAGTTGCAGCATTCCATACTACTAATCATTTTACTACATTAGTCATGGAGTTCCACAGGGTTCTGTACAGGGACCATTATCTTTTTATTTCCCGTAGCCAACATTATTTGAAAATACTGTATTTTTTTTTCTTTGCTATATAGCGGATACCTGGCCACAGACCGTTATTAAGCCAAATAACACAAATCACTTAAACTATGAACGAGTGGTACATTCCATCTCGAAACAGGACATTTTTAAAACATTCATTACTTGACCGTCTCTGATTTGCCTAAAAACATTATGCTCTAAAGTCCAGACATGTATAATGATTCCTGTGATTTTTTAGTTTATATCGAATACTTTTCTAGATATTGATACTTTTAAAAAGCACTGTTCTCCCACTTCCAAGCCTTTTTTCTTTCACTTTGAAATCTGAGGCAATGATGAACATGAAAAACTATTAAAGATAAAAGCATGATATTTTCACCTGCCTTTCCTACCATTAAATTGAATCAGGAGCTGTAATTTGGGACAGATGCATCAAAAAATGTTTGAGTACTGGCTCTTTAAAATACAAAAAAAAGTCTCATATTTGACTACACACTACTAAAGAAACTCCACATTGCAAAAAACAACTAGTGACAATTTCAGAGGAGTATATAGTGGTGCAAAATAGAGCATGTAGAATATTTTTTAACATTAAATTATTATTCACAAAATTGTGCAAAATGCTGGAAATGGGTTGAAAGACCATTTTTCTGTCTAGCATTATCTTTCCCTCCATAACACTGAGGAACCTGGGAGTTACTTTTGGCCAGGATATGTCCTTCAGTGTGCACAATAAACAAATATGTAGAATTTATTTCTTTCATCTCTGTGACAGTGACAGTGAAAAACTAGTTTGTGCATGTGTTACTCTGAGGCTGAATTTAATTCATTGCTATCAAGTTGTTTAAAAAATAAGTTCCCTGAAAGCCTTCAATCGATCCATGATGATGCAGTGCGACTACTAACAGGGACAAAAACGAGAGACCCTATTGTGCCTATTAGCTTCTCTTAACTAGCTCCCTGTTAAATCAACAGTTAAATTTAAAGTTCTTCTAGTCACATGCAAGGTACTGAATACTGTTAAAGAGTGTTAAAAATAAATAAATAAATAAATAAAATCAAATTAAACTGAATTCACAGGATTTCACATTTCATAAGACCATTTTGTATAATATAATGATGGTGATGTCACTTGGTGTATTGTGTAAGATTTATTTACCCACAGAGATTTATCACCTGGCTCTACAATATCCCGCAGCTCTGTGGAAAATTTTAGCATCTTTCACCATATTTTTTTAAATACAGTAGCTTCACTCATCAGCTTCAGGCAGACAGATGTGTTTAACAAAAATACGTCATGTTGGATTACAGAAGAAACCTTTTAAACTGACCTCTTACTTACTCTTAACTGTTTTGCTGAACTGCTGAAACAACACAGTAACCTTAAGGCTTTAAACCAGGTGAATATGTGCTCTGCAAGCGGCAGTTTTTCCTCTGTGTAACCGAGAGTGGGTGGGAAGGCAGATATTTTGAAGATTAATCAATAATATAGTTGTAGGATTAAAGAAGTATTACTTTGTTGTTGGGAAGAGGTTGTGTCTGGGAAGCACATTGTGCTTTTTTTTTTAATCTCCAAAAGCTGCACGCAAACCGTAGCTATCTTTTTCTGTTGGTGCAATCTTTCAGTGAATGCTAAAGTGGAAACTAATACTGCATATGGAAGGACAGTTTTCAAATGGAGCTAAATAAATGGAAAATTTCAAAATGCGACACTAATCAGCAGGTGAAGAGCTCTTGAAAGAATTATTTTTTTTAAATAGATCATTTGGGAAATCCCCAACAAAAAGTGAAATTAGGTTGTTTCACTGAAAGTTGTTTCATCGTTAAAGTGAAGCATCTTACTGAAGAGATAGGGTCTTGGGCTCACTATGCAAAGTGGAGGAAAATGCGAAAAGGAATTCCCTCTTGACCTCATCTACAGGAAGTTACATAACAAACATTTCCTCTCTTCCTCTGGAACGCAAATGCATATATATATATAAAACTGTTTCAAGTGCCAGAGGAACAGTAGCAGATTGCATCTATGTGCAAACAGACCTTTGGCACTGCACTTATAAGACTGAGGGTAAACACTGTAACTGCCTCCTTCCTTCACTCGCAGAGGAAAACGATGCGATTCTCAAGGTTCAAGTGGGATTTGCATCAAATATTTGTACAAAAAAAGCAACAACAACAACACAGGACATCTCACAAAGTCAAGTCCGTCCTTGACAATAGAAACACACCTACAAAAAGGCCTTGTCACTCAAGTTACACCTGGCCATGATGGGTCTCTAAGCAACAACTGTCAATGCATGAAACGAAGGAAAGGAAACAGCACACGCTTAATTACATGCTGGTTGGAATCTGTCTGCTGACTGTTGGGGGAGAAAGGGGGAGACAGGTTACATGGGAATAGCCTGTAATATCGGGACTGGTGCTTTCTTTATTTGCGATGGTAGTGATTCGTTAGTTTGACATCTCAGTGTTTTTACATTTTGTGTTATTGTGGGGTGGACGAGTAGATCCATGTTTTCGGGTAAAGTTAAATCAATAAAAGAGACAATGCGCAAGGAAAATGTTTTTACGGAGATTAAAGGCAAAGCTGAAAAATGAGACTTCTCTACTGTTGCAGCAAAACTAATTCCGGTTAAAATTGGAAACAAGAATGTTGATGAGGTGACGATCACTTTCCCCCCTCTTTTTTCCCGTGAAGCCGCGCAAAGTAGCGTCCTTTGTTATCGCTCGTTTCCGCTCAGGCTGTTTCATATGCATTGCATTCATATATATAATTTTTTGGTTAGATCGCCTGACGTCTGCGTTAAAATGTCTTATAACCTTCAGCAACCAGGACTCTGTATTTTTTGCACTGCGGTGGTAGCTCTCACGTCAGTTGGCCGCAAAAACAGGAATTCATAACATTATGTTTGAACACACAGAGGAAAAAAAATACATTTTAAAGATTATTTTCGTTATTTTGTGTAGCTTAAAGGGTGGTTTAACGGTCAAAGTGCGTTAGTCACTAGTAATGCAAGTACCAGAAATAAAACAAAAATGGTCTAAATTTAGATAAAAGAGTGATAAACGGACTGTGTTTCTATCTAGCTGTTATTCCTGTGGTAAGAGTCCTTATTCTGGCTGGATACTCTGTCATATCTGTTGGCGCTACCTCTGATGTCACTGAATGAGCAGTGCGGGCTTCCAGTGCGCACCTTCGGGGACGCAGCAGTGGCACAGCCAGTGGATTGTGCTGTGCGTTCGCCAACTACCCGGAAACCTTTTGTTTCTCACGTTTTTCCTCGCATCCGGATTTCAGTCCGTGTTTGCACTTCTGCTCATCCGCCTGGGTTTATTCCAATGAACTTTTTTGGAAGCGGGAAAGCAGGTAAGGTGGTGTCACACTTGTGTAATTATGTCCTTGAGCGCGTTGTATTGGCTCTTGTTCTCTCACACAGATCCCACAGTATGTGCTAATGGAAAAAACTTCCCTGTTTTTTTTAAACAGTCGCCAGATATTCTGCTGTCTTGGTCTGCACCAAATTAAGTTGAACGGTCAGTTTACGCCCAACAGCAGCAGCAGCAGCAGCAACAGCAGCGGCGGCGGCAGCTTTCAGCACCATGGAGAGCAACGTGGTGCACATCTTCAAAGAGGACCGGTGTCCCTCGGGCCAGCCGGGGGAGTGCATCCCAAACTTTACCTGGCAACCTTCGGATATTTTCAACTACACTGCCAACGCCACCTGGGATGCTGAACCCGAGCCAATGTCGCCCATCATCCCCATCATAGTCGCCGTTTACTCCATAGTGTTCGTGGTGGGCTTAGTCGGCAATTGTTTGGTGATGTATGTCATCATAAGGTGAGCTATCAGCTTTGAAATCGTGTTATCTGTTGTGTGAAAGAGCATGATCATCAGCTTGAAACCGAGTGCGTATCTGCAGGAGTAGCTCATAAAATGGGAATTCGGTGCGCACTGATCAAGTCCTTTGCAGTGTGTTTGCTCATGTGTTTTCAGAAAAGCATTAAGTTTGGTATCACCTCTACTCGGGTCTGGGACATACATCAACAGAAATGAGGTTTAAAATGAAGCAAATGTTGGATTTTTGTCGTTTCTGCAACTGTATAGTGCATGCATATAGTGTGTTTTCTTGTTTCAAACACACACACACATACACACACACACACACACACACACAGAGATCGATAGATAGATAGATAGATAGATAGATAGATAGATAGATAGATAGATAGATAGATAGATAGATAGATAGATAGATAGATAGATAGATAGATAGATAGATAGATAGATAGATAGATAGATAGATAGATAGATAGATAGGGTTTTCCCCCATGTTGCTTCCCTTTATTATACTGAACACATGATTTAATCACTCTCGCTTCCCCCCAGATGAAAGAAAATCAAAGAGAATCGTGTTTACTTCTACTCTCCCCACTCCTCCCCCCCAGATACACAAAAATGAAAACAGCCACCAACATCTACATCTTTAACCTGGCCGTGGCTGACGCCCTGGTCACCACCACCATGCCCTTCCAGAGCACCGACTACCTGCTCAGCTCCTGGCCGTTTGGCGAGATAGCGTGCAAAGTTTTCATCTCCATCGATTACTACAACATGTTCACCAGCATCTTCACCTTGACCATGATGAGCGTGGACCGATACGTAGCTGTGTGTCACCCTGTTAAGGCCTTGGATTTCCGGACCCCCGTCAAGGCCAAGATCATCAATGTTATCATCTGGGTGCTGTCGTCGGCTGCTGGGATCCCTGCCATGATACTGGGCAGCACCAATACTAATAACGGTATGACCATTTCATGCACTGGTATGACCCTACCTCTGTTCTTTATCTAATTTTTATATGTTTTTTTTTGGTTATATTTCAGTTTATTTATAGTCTGTCTGCTGTAGAGACAAATTACCTTGTTCTGTACTAAGGAGACTAATATGCGATTTCATGCTAAAAGCTCTATATAATTTACAGCTGAGAATTATCTCAATTGGCTACTTCACATTCAATGAACAGGGTGTTCTATAGGTCTGATGACAGCCTATTAGCTACTTGATTTGCTGAAGCTATGACAGAGAAAATGGGTCTTCCTTTAGAAAGAACATATTTTCTTTCAGCAAATGTCTGAAATTCATCTTTACAATGAAATTCTATTGAGTACAAGACACTTTATCCAAAGACTTGCTCATGAATCTAATTCTGGACTTTAGTTTCCTCAATTGACAACTTTTATGCATCACAGGATCTCTCTCACATTGTCATTTCTAAGCCATGCTGGTGGCAGGACAGGAATTTAAAGGAGCCCAAAAGGATCATAATCATAATCAAATACAGAACGAAGGATAAAATAGCATGAAATTTTTTTTCAAACGATGTCTACTGAGAACATAATACACACCACTTTATTAGGTACACCTGCTGAGCTGGACCTCTGTTTGCCTTCATAGTTGCCTGAATTCTTAGTGGCACAGATTCAAAAATACGCTGGAAACATTCAGAGATTTTGGTCCATCTTGACATGATAGCACTAGGCAGTTGCTGCTGGCCATTTGAGCACAGCGAACACAAGAAATCAGTTTGGGATGATGGTATTGTGTGTTATCCTCCTGGAGGCAACCATCAGAAGATAAGATAAGATAAGATAAGATAACCATTATTAGTCCCACATGTGGGAAATTTGTTAATGACTACACCGTTGGTTATAAAGGGACAGTTGTTCAGGAACAATAATAAGGTAGACTGAGGTGTTTAAACAATGCTCAGTTTGTGCTAAGGAGCCCAAAGTGTGCCAAGAATATATCTCTCACCTCAATACCCCACCAGTAGCCTGAAACGTTGATACAAGGCAGGATTATGCTTTCATGTCATTTATACCAAACTCTGACCCACCAGACTCACCAGTTTTTTCAGTCTGCTAGTTTCCTGCATATTGTCACCTCAGTTACCTGGTCTTAGCTTGCAGGAGTGGTTGCATCGGTGGTTATTTGAATTACTGTCTCATCAGATCAAAGCAGTCTTTTCTTTGTCCTCTGACCTCTGACATCAAAAAGCATTTTCACCCAGAGAATTGCAACACATTGGATATTTTCTCCAATGTGTTGCAAAAATATTTATGAGATATTTTCTCATAAAACAAGCCATGGTTGTCCTTGAAATTCTCAATGAAACAGCATGTTTAAAGTCACTTGTCTGCATGTCTAAATGGTGATCAGCTGATTATATATTTACATTAACAAAGAGATAAACAGCTCTATCCAAACAAGTGGCTTGTGAATGTAAAATGTCTGAGAAACTAAACAGTTTTTCATGGTGTTTATGAATGTATTTTAGTGTTTTATAGCCAGACTTTAATGTTTACAAACAGTTTAACTGACCTAAATCGGGTCGGTTAAATTTTAACCCAGTAAAGCCAGAACAGGGAAATAATTTCCAGAAAAATTCAATTTGTTTTTTAAACTGGAGTGTTTAGAGCCTTCTGACAATTAAAAAGAAAAAAAAAAAGACTTTACATACCTATTTGCATATATGACTTTTAATCATATTCACTACATCCAGCATTTTTGTGAAATGCATTAGGTGTTCAGGGGGGAAAAGAAATCGCACTGACGATGGAGGTCTCAAAAACTCACAATAACTCATGTGTCAGATATAATGCATTTGGAGTTACAGGGTTAAGTCATATGTTTTTTTTTACTGCTATTAATGCCCTGAGAGTAACACTTCCTTCATATCCATCACCTTCATGCTAATAAACACAAGAAAACCATTCACTAAACATCTCTATGCAATTTTAAAGATGTCAATTTGACATGTAACTTTGAACATGTCAATCTGACATTAGCGTGTCATTTTGAGCATTTCCTGCTGTGTGTTCCTATAACTGCATTCTTCTGTAACTAACAGGGACTACAGAGTGTGCTTTACAGTTCCCTGATCCCTACATCTACTGGGACACGCTGATGAAGATCTGTGTCTTCATCTTTGCATTTGTGGCACCGGTCATCATTATAACTGTCTGCTACACTCTGATGGTCATGAGGCTGAAGAGCGTGCGGCTGCTGTCAGGCTCACGCGAGAAGGACCGCAACCTGCGTCGCATCACCCGTCTGGTGCTGGTGGTGGTCGCCGTCTTTGTGGTGTGCTGGACACCCATTCACATCTTCATCTTGGTCAAGACGCTGTCAACAAATGTCCCCGAGACCACGGCTGTTATGGCCGCCTACTTCTTCTGCGTGGCGCTGGGCTACACCAACAGCAGCCTTAACCCCATCCTCTATGCTTTCCTGGATGAGAACTTCAAGAGATGCTTCAGAGACTTTTGCTGTCCCAGAACACAAGGACAAGGTGACTGTCATGGAGTGAGCCGTGTGAGAAGCACTCTGCGGGATCATTCTTGCCCTGCAGAAGCTCGGGGAGGCGTAAAGCAAGCCAGGCCCGTATGACTAGCCATGGACATGTCCTCTATGCCCTATCAGAGCTGGGAGGACTCCAATGAGCTGGGCTTAACTCAAATCACTACAGCTATCTGAGATAAAAGCCAGAGTCAGGGCCAGATTTTTAGCTCTGTATCCAGCACGTTGGTCAAATAAGCCAAAAACATGTTCACTTAAAAGATTAGCCTGGTGCTAATCTATGTTTTATTCTTACTACACAAATCCCATGAAAAGGCCACAACCAACAAAGATTGGAGCTTCTAATTTTCTGTACGCTACTCTGCTGCAATGAATGAGTCACTAAAGTCGCTAAAAGTATTAATTCCTCACTAAAAATAGTCACCAAGGAATAGACTTCAGTCGTGTTGGAGACCACAGAACACAGATAATTAAGCCTTAAAAGAATGAACTGTATGTAATAGTACACAGAGACGACTTAAATTTTTAAAAGATGCACAGACATGAATAGGCTTCAGTTCAAGTTATGTAAAAAAAATTCTTGACAGAAAGATGAACCTGTTGGTGGTTTTGATATTTAAGTATAAAAGAGTTTAAAGTCCCACTCGCAAGTTTATCATTATAAGCGTGATGTTACTTTTTTATTGTGTTTTTTTAATCTTCTTTTTAAAAAGAAATCATATTCAAAGGATAGTGGGATGCATCATCATTATGCCCATGCTAAATAGTGATAAGACGTATACAGGCAAAATACTACATTAATCAGAAGTCTTTTCAGAAAGCCATATTATTTGCCAGAAAATTGCATCAAAAATATAACACTGACCCCACAAACACACTCAAGAAGTCCAGGTCTGTGAAGTGGATTTGCAGTACTCCTTGTATCCTTAAGCCTTAATGCAAAATAAAATGAGTTAGTTACAAACAGGATAACAACTAAGACAAAAACCCATCCCTGTCTAGTTGCTGTGAATGTGGAAATTAGCTACAGAATTGAAATCATTATTTTTACTGCAAACATTAAAGTCGAGTCCCAAAAGGTTGATTCTGTTCATCTGGACGCAGCGTTTTCAGTGGGAGAAACATTTCGTCACTCATCCAAGAGACTTCTTCAGTCTCAGCTGACTTTAGGTTTCCCCAACCTAATAACAGTACATTTGCACAATGACTGAAACTAGCCCAGTGAATCAACCTGTTGGGATTTAGTAACTTGATGCATGCATCAAGACATTAAAGTCAGGTATTTTGACACCGCAGTCTGTGGAGAACTACTCGCTTTTGGAGACTGCCTCGAGTGGCCAATTGAGGAAATGCAATTTTTGCACCTTTTCACATTGTTGATGGCAACACTGCAAAGATGAAGCCAGATGTTTAAAGAAGATAAACACGTTTTTTAACTAGACCTGTAAACTGTCTGGGCTTTCATATTAACATGAATAAGATCAAAGCTCTTTAAGAAACTGGATTTTAAAAAAAAGGGACTATCCCTGATGATGTTGGGAACAATGTGCATTACTGTGTGTCATTGTTTTATAGATGTGCATTGCAGTTTGGTGCTTTGGTGTTAAAAGTGTGTGAATAGTCCTTTCACTCTGACAGTTAACTAATGTAGAATATTTAATAGCCTCTCAGGGAGTAATCCTCTGATATTCACGACTTAAAACGCTGAAGAGAGCGAATCAAAGTATTTTCTCCTTGACCCGCTGCTTGACTTTGACGACGGCTTCGTTGTCATAACATCAGTAGGTATTGTTCTTCAGTTGTAGGCTCAGTTTGAAGCTGAACTGTATTAACTGCATCTTTGAACATTTAGAGCTGTGATGCTGCAGTCTCTTTGAGATAACAGGACACAGTGTCCGCCTTTTCTCATCTACTCTGAAACTAGAACCGCATGTAAAAGGAAAAAAATGGGCAGAGGGCTTTAAGGCAACCGCCATCAGGACAACAGTGTATTGTATCTACACAACAGTGCTTTCAGCATTTAGTGCAATTTAATGTCTATACTGTAAATTTCCTCTCAACCTGTCACCATAGTCTGGGCTTGGTAAATGTGTGTTTGTGAGTTTATGTGCTGAAATGTGACACGGAGCATTATATTCTAATGGCAACACATCGGCTCTTTCAGCTTTACATACATTTTTCATCAGCCGCAGACATTCTGTATGAAACAGTTTGTTATTATGGCCATCGCTCTTTCACTGCACACAAATACTGAAAGTTTTTTTTTTATGGTGTGTTAAATTCCTTCCATTTTAGATGGTTCAAAGTGCTTCGTAATGGTCTATGATAAGTCTTTCTTTCATCTTTGTAAAACGATTTACTGACTCGTCCTTGTTTGCTGAACTTATTATTGTAGCTGTTCTAGTAGCCATCAGGTCACCCAGATTTAATCAAATAAACTCTTAAATGTAATGTAATATATTTACCTGTTTAAATCTGATAAAGATATAGTGTTATAGCAGAAGTTGTGTTTTGTGCCTTGTTTGTGTGCCTTATCTTCTGCACCAGAGTTCAGCTGTTATGCTTGTTTAAAATAAATAGCAGGTAGATTTTAGCACTTACAGTTTAAGACTTGTTATTCTTAAAGTACAGTTTATCCCATATGAGCTTAGTAGCTGTAGCATTATGTAAGAGGATTAACATCTTACAGAGGATATGTGTTGTTATGATATGTTTCTCTTAATTATTCCTCTAATGCTATTACATTATTTGATGCAGCACAATATCAGCTCATTAATGTCTAATGCTGCTGCTGCTGTGGATGTTTGGACATATTTTGATGTATCTTTGAGCTTTGGATGTCAAAAACATGTTTCACACATGCACAACTAAGTCACAATAAAGCTGAGAAATGTGAGATTCAAGGTGAATACAAAGGAGAGCTTCAGTTCAGTCTTCAGTTATATCAGCGTGGGCACAAGGAAGTTGTTTTTTTTTTAAAGCTTATTTGTCAAAAAAGTGGTAGGAAGACTGTATAGCCCACCTCCTCAGTGCTTCTATTTTTCAAGGTATTATTAAGTAAATTCAATTCAGATACAATGTTAATGTTTCCATGGTGAACACACTGAGGGAGAGGCAGAGGTCCATGCTTGTTGTGCTAATTGTATGGCACTTTGTGTAGTCGGCCTCGTGGAAGAATCTGCACTGACTGTAAGTTCAGCCCCTGTGTGAGGACTTTAATGATATGTTGGCACTGCTGTGACCTTCCTATCTTTTATTTATCTTGTTGATTTGTCTTGATTTGTGTTTGAGCTTGTGATTAAGACGGGGTTATTACTATCTGAAGGTGTGGGGAAAGAACAAACCAATATTTTGGGTTTTTTAATTTGTTTTAAATTGTTAACAATATTCTATTTAATTATACTAAGTTGTTAAAAGTTGGCTTAAAGCCATTTCTACTACAATTTAACTATCCACTCGCTGTTTATTTATGGTAGTTGAAATAAAATGTTGCCTAATGTGAAAACTGTTTATGTTGCTCTTATAAAGTCAGATATTCTGTGACAGTTAAGAGGTTGGGATGGATGTTGTTGATTCAACAATATATAACTTTGTAATGCTTTGTAATGCAAATCATAATCAATAATTGCAACAGATGAGAAAAAAATAAAGAATATTTGGAACACTGGATAGACACAAATGAAAAATGTTATCCTGCTGATGAGAGATAAGAAAATTGTCTCGTAGCTAAAAAGGAAACTTAAATACACTGAGAATGAGCTTGGAGCGACAAAGGCAGCTCCCCAACTGCAGCCACCACACAGCCAAGAATGAGCCACTTTATTTTTCAAACACTATCATCGGCTGTGCAGGTTTTTATTTACTTTTTATTACAAAAGGACTGTTTGTTTGTTTTTTCATTATTTCTACAGTTGCCATTTGTGAAAGGCTTCCAGATGAGGTGCCCCTCCTTACAGCAGCTGACAAATATAATGGTGCACAGATAAAAGGGATTCTGAAGGATTTTAGAGGCAAATTAAATCAGTCGGTCCTTACGTGGATTGTTGAAGCTGACAGCTATAATTACAAAGATTACTGCATTTTTCTACTCACTGTCTCCAAGGTGCAAGTGCATTTGCAAGCCATTACATTTAGCCAGGTTCAGTAATAAGCTCTGCCTTCTAATAAGGATTGAACAGGTGCCTACTCATTGCTTGCCTCATAAGCCATATACTAAAATGAAAGTGCTGGGAAACAGAATTATGTGTATTAGATTATATGTAATTATGTCATATTAACAGGCTATTAACAACTGTTTAAAATAGAACCCAGTGAGGACATAGATATAGATATCTTACTACATGAAGACTGGTTTGGGATGTTATGAAAGGTAAATGGAGTGCTGGGGAGGAGTTTTTGAGGAAGGAAGGAGCCAAAATGTCAAGCAAGTGTCATGCGTGCTGATCCATGATAAATATAACTAGAGACATTTTTCAAAACCTGCCGACCCAAAACAGCATTTAGCCTCCGTCACATTGTGTTTGACACCCCAGAGTTAAATCATTAAATTAATCAAAAAAGAAAGGACATCTCAGAATCCCTCAGATTTGCCTTGTCCATTGGAGTCACCATTCATCCATTCATCTTTTAAGCCCTAATCCTCCTCAGATGACACTGGGAACAGATTGGATTGTCCATCACAGCTATACAGCCAGTTAACCTGACATGCATGTCTGTGTATTGTATGGGGAAACCAGAGCACCCCAGGAAAACCCACTCAGGCACATGGAGAAAATGTAAACATGCAGTGACTACAGCTGACTATAGCAGGTTCAAATTCTTGCTCTGGGTAGGCATTGCTAATAAGTGCACCAGCATGCTGCTCTGTCTGGAGTAATGACTCTATAAAAAGTTACATATGGCCCATTCTTTGAAAGAATTTTTAAACATGTAAAAGTCTAAAAACTATTAACCAGGAGGAATTAATTTGCATGACTTCCACCTTTTCTCTACATGGACTGGAATGCAGGACCTAAATACTTCTACCTCTGAGAATAGATATGCAAAGCATTAGCAATGAAATTTACAACTTACAAATCCTGAATAAAAGATGCCATATTATAACGCAGTACCAACCTTTCTATAACTACTCATTTCAATGGAATTTTACTCCGTAGAGAGCAGTTTTTAGTCTTTGGGGATTATACATTAAATCAATAAATAATAACATGCTCTTGAAAGAACCAGATTAAAAGATAAAATCTAAAATCTAAGTAAAACCTACATTTGTTGCCATTTTATTTGCAGTGGGGGAGTAACAAAGCCTGATGGTGGATGCAATCTGTGGGGACAA